TGCTTTTCCTCCCTTCCAAGGTGTTGATTCCAAAATCACTCCCTAATAAACCTCCTGCACACAGTTCTCTGTCTCAGAGCCTGCTTCCAGAGAACCTGTCCTGAGACAGTACTGCCACAATCAGTTGCCCAGCCAGACCCTCCAACTCAGTGACTTAAAACCAGCATCCTACTCGCTGGTCTGTGGTCCGCAGGGGTGGCCCTGCTCCAGGTGCTGGCCATCTGGGCTTGGTTCAGGCTCTGAGTTGGTTCAGGCCTGCTCTGTGTGCCTCTCACTCGTGCTCCCTAGAGCTACTTGTTCTTCCTGGGCTAGGTCACCGGAGGGCAGGACCATGAGCAGAAACACAGGATGCCTCCTTATGGCCTTGGCTCAGAGCTGACTCTGTCCCTTTGCCCACCAGCCCATGGTCAAGTTTGACATCAGTGGGGCAGAGGAATAGACTCTGCCCACCACAGTCCACTGTGAGGCTAGGCAGCAGAGGGAGGCGGGCAAGAACTGAGAACAGGATCCAACCTGCCTCAATTGTTTATTCTCTCATTCATCCATTCATGCAGGACCTACTGAGCATGAACCATGTGCCAGGCACTGTCACAGGTGCTGATGCTGAAAAGATTGCCCTCAGGACACTCACGGCCCGGTGCGGGAGAGAGCCAATAAACAGTGCATTACAGCAGTGTGGTGAGTGCTGCGACTGGGGTGGGCACAGACCGTGGGACATGCAGGAGGGACACTGTGGTGGATGGTGTGGCTTCCTTCCTCCAGCATCCATTCCTCCTTCCAATCAGCACCTCGGAGTTGCCTCCCCTTGTGACAGCATTGGTGGCGTACAGTCTCAGAGGGGCTGTAAACCAGGGGCCCGGTCCACCATCATCCCAGGGCCAACCATGTGGCCCAAACCAGTTGTACTTTTTCCAGGTCTGTGCAGCTTGGAGGGTGGCATGAGATGATGGATGGAGCCACACCCCCCATTCTAGGGGCAGTACCTTGCCAGGATGCCCAGGCTGTTTCTGTGGCCCCCTCCCCACATCTGATTCTCCAGCTTCCTGTGTGCACTCTGAGATCTCTTATGTCCTTGCAACAGTTTCCCATTTTGCTTCTGTCAGCCAGATTGGGTGTCTGCTATTTTAACTGAATCAGGGTCTGAACACAGGCTTGGGCACAGGGAAGGAACCGGGGAACAGCCCAAAAGAGGAGGCCTAGGAAGCTGAGCCCTTAAGCAGGAGAAGAAGCTGGCAAGGGGACAAAGGGTAGAGGCCTCCAGGGAGAGGGGGCAGCATGTCCAGAGGCCTGGAGGTGACAGAGAGCCTGGCCCAGCCAGGAAAGACAAGCAGAAGACGCGAGAAAGGTTTTTGTTTATAAAATGGATGCCCAGGGTCTGCCTGCTGAAATCCCAGAGCACAAGGTGTAGGGGGAGCACAGATCTGTGGGTTTATCTAGAAAGTCCCTTCTAGCTTCCAGCTTCCAGAAATGAGACAACAGCTGAGGACCAGCCCTGAGCCCCTCTCCTTGGAAGCTGTGACTGCAGTGGGTTACTCTGAGTTGAGCGGTGGGGCTCGTTCATCCGTGTTCTCCTTCCCTTGGGGTGCAGGAGCCAAAGCTGAAACTGATGATGGGATGGATTGGGGTGGGTGTGAGGATAAATACCAGCGCAGGCGCGCGGACCGCAGAATCTGCGAGGACAGGGACCATCAGGTATCAGAGGACACGGGGGTGGGAGATGCACCAGCCCACGTTGTGACAAGGGGCAGTCAAGGTTGTGGTGGCCACAGACCTACTTCTTTCTCTGGAAATCTTTCTCTGCATTTGGGGTGCTCCTCACCGAATTCCGGTAGCACCTGTCGTTTACTGCCTGCTGCCCTCTCCTGGCGCCCCATGGAACTGCAACCCTGGACTTAACTCTTCTGCGGATGCATAAGCTGTTGGCCCAGGCAGGCTTCCAGTCGGAGGATGTGGGATCCGAGAGGGGTAATTTTGTTACTCCACCACATTTTACAGATGAAGAAACTGAGGCCCGGGGGCGGGGCATCACTTATCCTGGGTCTTAGGCCACATTAGTGGACTTGAGCTTCCTAATTACAGCCACAGATGATCTCTGTGGCCCATAGTCACCTCCAAACCTGGGAAAAGGGCTGCCCCTGAGAACGCACCTGTAGGGTTTAACTACAGACATTACAGAAACTTGTCCACAGTCAGCTGTGTGATTTTGG